TCTGCCTTCAAGATGAAACTTAGGTGAACACCGTTTCTCGACATGCCCGATCCGAATATCGCGGTCTCCCGGCTTGAATCGTTGCGAGGAAAAAGCAGGTAGTTTTCATATGAACTATAAATGATTTTCGATCTAAGTACACTAGAATGACGTTTGTATAATCAGTTTTGGTTAAACAGTTAATTTTTTAAAAATAGGCCTAATAATTATACTGTATAAATTTAATTCTGAGAATCTCTGCTTTTAGCTGCTTTAATACTTTCAGCTAGTTTAAGATGTCTGGAATATGATGGCGTTATCATATTACTTCGCTTTACTCTGTTGCTGGGGGGAAAACTGTCTAGCAATTGTTTATTTATACAATACAAAAGATGGTATTATTATGATTGTATTCATTATTCAAATGAAAACAAGGATTTGTAATCCGTTAGATATTGTGATAGAGGAAATAAAAGCAATGATTTGAAACGAAGTTATGATCATTGTTTTAATAATGCAGTTATATTAAATTCTCAGACATTAAAAACCGTTGGAATAAAACTCAATAAATGCTAAGATGGAGTTCGAGTATAGAAATAGTTGATAAATATGAGGCCCATGTAGCGAGAAAGTGAGTTCTAGTTTACTCTCAGAAACTGCAAAATGTTATGTCCACTCAGTCACTAGTGAAATGGCCGAATCAGTGAAACACGTACATTTGGCAAATATTGTGAATATGAATTTAAAACAAAAACAACATTTGAAGAAACCGTTGCACATTAATTCGAGCTAGAAGATTTACATCCATTAGGTAGTCAACTTTATGAAAGTATAATATGTTATACAGGATTAATATGTAATTACAGTCTCTTGTTTCTGGATTGGAGAGACATATGTGATGGTAAGTATAAACTGTATACATCCATCACTCTTTCATTCTATTAATAGTATGTGTTTTATCGGTCGACAACAATGTGTTGATGGTATTGATGAGGATAATTGTGGAAATTTGGAATATAATGAATGTGAAAACGATGAATATAGATGTAGAAATAGAGTGTGTATTGACGCACAATATTTACTTGATAGCGATTACGATTGTCCGGATTGGTCAGATGAACAAATTGATAGTGTTTTGCATGATATTAATGCTTGTCCAGTTAAACTAAGTTTAAATTGTGATGAAGGCTTTTTTTCGTCCGCTGATGGTGAGATTATTACTGAATATAGTAGATTTAATAAACAATCTTTTGACCGAAACTGTAAGAATTACAGAGATAGAAATTTTATGTGTGAATTATACTCGTCTCATCCAACGTGGACGAGTAAAAATGGCCATTGTTTAGAAAAAGAAGACGAAATCAATGAGGATGAAGATATGTGCATATTTTATTTAAAATGCACATTAACGAAGAGTGAAAAACACATTTCTTGTAATTGTGAACGTCACGATTGTATTGAAAACATGAAACATTTTTGTAAGGAAAGACGCAATAATGTTTTCTATCCAATTAGTTATATTCTGGCTCCATTGATATATACATTACATGATATAGGGTGTCAATTGTTTTGATCACCAAAAAAAGATATTTTTGATCACCAAACGCCTTTAGATACAAATGATCACCAAAGAAAGATACTTTTGATCACCAAACTTTCCAGCATCACATTTTTATACATATAAACATGTTTTACTCGGACTTTTCTTCGAGAACATTGATGCAACCAGAGTTTTCAGGTACAGAAAATTATGAATAGAACGTTAAACAGAGCTATAGGACTCCCAAAGTTCTATTACCAGTATGACAATTTTCCGACCCATTGATCATAAATGAATGAATAACGATATTATGAACAAAGAAGAGATGAGAAAGTTTGACTGATATAATGAATGAATAAAGAAGAGATGAAGAAATTTGACTACACATATTCAACCAGCTTTAAATTTGTAAATAAATGTAAATAAAACTGTGAAAATATTGTCTTTGTTAAAATTTA